TGGCCTCCAAACTCCTCACCCCCCCCCCCCCCCCCCCCAGAGTTATATATATTTCTTGAAAACACCGACCCTGTAGAATAAAATGACGGCAGTTGCAAATTTTTATGTCACATAATATTAGTGCAACTCTTTATCAGACCCAAAATTTCAGTACAAAATACACCTAAGTCAAATATAAAAGATGAGGATTTGCCAAGTAAATAGCAAAGAAGCCAAGCTTACAAATTGCATGCCTGGGTCAATCTCCCAATAAACCCCACAATCATTGGTGGTCAGTCTTCCTTTAAACCCCACAATCATTGGTGGTCAGTGGCACTTTACCCTCAAGATAAAAACAATTGCACAATCATTGGTGTTCAGTTACCCTTTAAATGTCACCACTTCCGGTATCTGAGCTGTAATTCCCCGGCCAGAGAGGCTGCCAAAGGCCTGCCTGTCGGCACTTCATGCAAAATCAACTTTAGTTCCACTTGTTGAGCGAGACAGAATAACTGCACTAAGGCATGGTGAGCTCCCTCTAGTGAATAATCTAGAGATGTTTTTATTTAATGAAGTAAAAAAGTTATGGAGGAGAATGTAGAAATATGGAAGGAACATCCACAATGAGGGTGAGATAAAAACATATGATCATTGAATATACACATCTTTTCCTTTTAAACTGCATTGATAAGAGATTTTTTTTGTAAGGACCCCTTGCTTTTTTCTTACAAGGGCTGACAATATATTTTGGTCTTCGGGCTGAATACATAGTTAAGGTTGAATAAAGACACAGGTCCATCAAGTTCAGTGTTTGTGTGTGTTACTAGATGACCTGTATCTCTTGAGCGCTGAGAAAAGTATCTAGATATTTCTTGAATGATTCCATACCCTCAGCTGATACCACTGTCTGTGGAAGGGAGTTCCACAATTTTACACCTCTCTCAGTAAAAATCCTCTTAGCAGTTTAATATTAAAGTGACATTAAACCCTCAGATGTTTTAACATAAAACAATACTGTAATGTGTGCCTTACTGTAATCCATGGTTGTTTCCCTTCTCTTTGCTGCTCTTCCTTTTAAATCTGCATCTGTTCTCATGCTGGGCAGAACTTCTGTTTTGCAGCAGACTGCCTTGTCTCAGGAATGGCTACATGGTGTCTGTGTGTTGGTTTGCAACCTGAGCCAGCACTACAGGAAGAGGCACTCAGCTGCAAAGGTAAGTTCTCCCCAAGCATGAGAAGACATGAGGATTTAAAAGGAAGAGCAGCAAAGAGAAGGGAAACAACCATGGAGTACAGTAAGGCGCACATTACAGTATTGGTTTATGTTAAAAAATCTGAGGGTTTAATGTCACTTTAAGGCTCCATTTACACAGGAGCGGTTGTCCATACGTATTTGGCCGTACAAATACACACGGAACTGCTCTAAACATTTTTAAAAATGCACATTGTTCAGACTTTTACGGCTGCCATGTGGTAAGAAACCACGCGTTCCGCAAAATAGTACAAGCGCGATATTATGGTGCGGTTTCGTTCCGTGTGAAAAACTGCACAGAAAATGCTACCACTGTGGCGAATGGAGCCTAAACCTTTTCTCTTCCAGGTTCAGGTGGTGGCCTCTTGTATTCTTGACAGAACTGACAGTAAACTGTGAATTTCTGATTATCCCATCACCATTAATATCCTGTCCCCTCTCAGTCTCCTCTCTAACCACCTCCCGTCCATTCGCCATACCTAAACGGCCGGACAGGAGCCTTGTAGATGCTGGTGGGCGTTTTAAGATGTCCTTCCCTGCGCGCGCACGAGTGGGGAAACGGTAAAAAATGTAAATAGCCAGCGATGGCTGTTTGCATACAAGCGTTCCAGCGTCTGTAGAGACGCCAATCGCTTTTATTTAGTGCAGGTTTGCACCCCCCTGCCGCTGGTTCTGAGATCTGCTGGAAAGGTGCGGGCCCCGCCCCGGCACGGCGTCTCTGTGAATGGAGATCAGTACACGATCGCCTTCTGATCTTCTTTCCGGTCCTTGAATGCAGCAAGTGATGTATATTACATCACTTCCCGGCTATAGGAGTCGGGGAGAAGCAGATCTCTGCCTCATCAGCTTCTCTGGTGGTCCTTAGGTAACATTAGGGTTCTTGGAGACCCGATGTCTCCATAAAAAGGACCTGTCACGTAAATTGGCTAGCAATAAAGTTGTGTAAAAAAAAAAGTTAAGAAATTAAACAAGCATAACATTTAAAAAAAAAAAAGTGTAAAGTCCCCCGCCCCCTTCCCCCCCATACACATGCAAACATGCGTCGGGTGCCCCTACGTACGAAAACGATGATTAAATAGTTATTACTTATTAATTCTGACTCTCACTCTGGCGTTCAAGGTGATATGTAACATGCGTGTCACGCACACGTTACATATCAACGCGAACGTCAGAGTGAGAGTAATAATTCTAGGGCCATCAATCACTGATAACACTAAACTGATGAGGGGTAAACGCTTTTAAAGTGTCGCATATGGCAAAATTTGGGTGTGATAGTTTTTGCAGATTTTGCAGGCACACACTATTTTAAGGCTCAACATGTTTGGTGTCTATTTACCCGACGTGACCCCCACCTGTTATTTCTTCCCAAAAAATGAGGGTGATTATAAATGTTTTATAACATTTCATAGTGAAACAGGTTTTTTTTTTCAAAACTTTCAGTACTTTTTTTTGTTATATAGTAAAAAATAAAACCTCCAGTGGTGATTAAATACCACCAAAAGAAAGCTCAATATGTCCCCCAAAAAATGGTATCAAATTAATTTCAGAACAGCGTTGCATGACGGATGAAATGTCAGTCAAAGTATACAGTGAATACAGAAAAATGGCCTGGACAAGAAGGGGGTTTAACACCACGGTCAGCAAGTGGTTAAACAGCCTTTGTTCCGGGGTTTGCACACATTGCCGTGCTCAGCTACAGTCCTTGTTCCTGGTCTATAGACAGCCCAGGAAAATAACATTCTCCGAAATGGTCAGCAAAGGCCGCTCCCATATTCCTCCCATGACAGGTGTTGGCGGCATGTGTTAACTTTTAAGCTGAACATTCTTGAACGCCTCCTGCCCTTCCCAGGAAGGAAGCAATACTTTCACTTTCTTTTCTGCCTCACTCTTTGCAGCATGGCGTCTCTTGATCTAGAAGAAGAGCTGAACTGCTCCATCTGTCTGGATATCTATAAGGATCCCGTGTCACTAAGATGTGGACATAACTTCTGCCAGGACTGTGTGGTGTCTGCACTGAAGGCACAGAAGTCCAGACCTTATACTTGTCCTGAATGTAAAGCCAACTATGCCGATTGGCCTCTACTGGAGAAAAACAGGAAGCTGAATAACATAGTGGAACGTTTCCTATCTACTCCGAGAGCCCAGGCGAAGATATTGTGTATGTATTGTCTTAAATCTTCTATACCGGCTGTTAAGAGTTGCCTGCACTGTGAGGTCTCTCTCTGTGCAGAGCACCTGGAGGCCCACAACAAGAGCTTGGACCATGTTCTAACGGAGCCCACCTCCACCTTCAGTAATAAAAAGTGCTCCATCCACAAGAAACCGTTGGAGTTCTACTGCTGCGAAGATGCCACATGTCTGTGCACATCCTGTTGTTTGGTTGGAATGCACAAAGGACACGAGGTGATCATTCTAGAAGAGGCCGCTGCAGAGAAGAAGGGGAGACTGAGAAACGCTCTGGATAAACTTACCCCGAAGAAAAACAAACTTGAGAAACAAGCCCAGAGTCTGCAGGAGCGCAAGGCCAAAGTGCAAGGGAAAGCAGGTCACGAAAAGCAACAGGCTACCAACCTGTATAAAGATATCAGGAGGCAGCTGGGGCTCCAAGAGAAACAGGTCCTCAGTGATATCTCCAAGATGGAAGGACAAGTTTACCTCAAAGTCTCCAATGCGATCAAGAAGGTGGAATCACAAAAGGTCGAGCTGTCCAAGAAGATGAGTCAAATTAAGCAGCTGAGCGACATGACTGACCACATAGCTCTTCTGCAAGAACAGCAACCAAACATGGATGAAGCTTCTGAAGACCAAGATGTGAAAGATGATGGAGATCTGGTTGTCCCAGATCTGGATGAGGTTTTGATCGTGCTGACTTTGCACAAATCCATTACTGATTTTATGAGCAATGCAAACTTGAAAGTTGCTTCCCACGTAAAAGAGGCTTCTGACTTGATTCTGGATGTCAACACTGCACATATGAACGTGGCTTTATCACATGACCTGAAGGCAGCATCGTTCTCCACAACACCTCAGGTGAGATCAGAATTACCGGGGAGATTTAAATACTGGAGTCAGGTGTTGAGCACCAAGAGCTTCTCCTCAGGGCGATACTTCTGGGAGATAGAAACCAGTGAGCTTGGACTATGTGGCTTTGGAGTGTGCTACCCTAGCATGGAAAGGCAACGAGACGGATCTGGTATTGGAGACAACAACAAGTCCTGGAGCTTACTCCATGCCACAAACACACATTTAGCTATACATAACTTCTATAAACAGCAAGTTCCTCACAAGTCTTCCTGCACAAGATATGGCGTCTACCTGGATTACAAGTCTGGCCACTTGTCCTTCTATCAGCTGTGCGATCCCATCCTGCATCTACATACCTTCAAGGCAACCTTCACTGAGCCCCTGCATGCTGCTTTCTTTGTGGATGATGGTGCCTGGGTGAAGATCAACAGTTAAAGGTTTACACGGGCTGGTGCAAATTATGTTCCAAAATTTGAAACCGTCTATTTCACCTTCTATTTGGGATGATGAGCTTTCTTGGTGCTACACAGGACTTTCCTTCGGGTGAACCTTTGTCTTCGGGATGACTTATCTAGAACGCTGCAGTTACTGTACAAGTGCCTGGCTTTGTGGGGAAGATGGTAGTCACATGGAAGTCCATTAAAGGAACCATTACAGAGAAAATACGTTGACTGGTATTGCTGCTCGCCTTAGAAAAATGCTAATATCTGACTGTTATGTTAAACTAAAGGTTTCGATACACTAACCTAGGAAAGGTATGTGATTTAGCAGCTTTGAATCATACTGTGAGGGCCATGGCACACTGGTGGCTTTGTAGCCACGAATAATCTCTGCTACAAATTGCTAACAGCTATTCACATGAGGTGTTCTAGGATTCTGGGAACCTATGGATTCTTGCGGCAGGAATGCCGGGTGTCACCTTCAAATATGACCATTGAATTAAATGAAAGGGCGACAGCGGCCGCATTTGTACATGGTATGATTAAATGCAGTTTGGGCTAGGTGATTGTTCCTGGACACAGGAAAGATGCATCCAGGAACAATCATCTGTTCCACACTGCATGTAATCATACCATGTATGACTACATGTGGACTGGGAGATGCAGCCACTGTGACCCTGTCATTTACTTCAATGGATGCAATAGCCGCAGCTGAACGGAACACCCGGGATTCATGCCGCATGATTCCGTATGTATAAATGTTAGAATATTGCTTTTGTTTGTTCCATTACGGCTTGTTTCTTCCTTCTGTTATTAGAACGGAGTTGCCAAGTGTCCTTGATCATGCGGGATAGTCCCAGGATTTGAGATGTTGTCCTTCAGTGTTCAGGTCCTGCTGGCTGTCCCGCAGAACCCAGGACACTTGGCAGCAGTGCAGAGTGGCAGCGAGGTACCAGATTGTGGAACTCTTTCTACGTTTCAGCACTCGGCACTGGAAAAACTGCCATACTGTCAGATGGAGTGATGGAGTGCATGCCTGCAGCATGACTTTATCTAAAATATAGCAAAGTAAAGGGCGAATGATGGAACACCACGAGCTGTACATCCACCGATCGCATACGATTATCGTACGATAATCGTGCAGTGTATGGGCACCTTTAGTTCTGTGCATTGTAAAGTTGTTTTGTACGGATGGTGTTGCTTTTGAATCACTCTAGCTATCATAGGGTTATTCTTTTACTTGGCCTTAGTGCATCACTAGATTCCCCCCATCTACCCTGAACAGCATGGAAAGAGGAATCTCATCTGCTGGCTAATGTAATCAGACAGCCAGCACCCACAGCTGTCAGAATACCCAAACAGTGCATCTGATTGACTGCAGTTACTGTTCAGCTGAGTATTTTCCCATCCAGCTCCTTCGATTTTCAGGTTAAATGATGTACGCCAACAGGGCCACACACTGATTGAATTTCAACTGATTCAGCAAGAATCTGCCAAAATTCGATCTGTGTATGGCCAGCTTTACACTAGTCCAGGGGTAGGCAACCTCGGTACTCCAGCTGCTGTGGAACTACAAGTCCAATGAGGCATTACAAGACTGACAGCCATGGGCATGATGGGATTTGAAGTTTTAGCACAGCTGGAGTGCTGAGGTTGCCCACCGCTGCGCCAGTCAGTTGCCAACAACGGAATGCATGATCCCTTAACGTGTGTGAAACATCCAAATGCAGATAAGTATTGTGCATATGATTTGGATGAACTACAGTGAGGGGAATTTATCACCATCTGGAGCAGATGTGCACGGCAACCAATCAGCTTCTCGCTTTCATTTTCAAATCTTAACTGGGCAAACTGAAAAGAGAAGCTGATTGGTTGCCATGCACAACTGCTCTAGCTTCAGTCGGCTCCAATTTTGATAAATTCCCCTCCAGTGTGTGCAAAAGATTTTTGGAATGGGAGCTGAGCCCTCCAGTAGTTGAATTAAGCAGATTCCTTTTACCTACATTGTAAATGATTTATGTCATGTGATGTTTGAATTCCTCACATTGTTACCCTGAGGAAGGGACCCTGCAGGGCCCAAAACGTTGGAACTATGTATTTCATGTGACACAACATGGTGAATAAATCCTAAACTGATTTCACACTTATGGAGTGCTGGTGACTTCTCTTTATGGCCACTATGGATTATTAATAGGGATGCGAGTACTTGTACTTGCCCAAATGCTCTTGATAATCAGAACTTCCGGGATCAGGAAGCCGGGTGGCCAGTGATTACATTCTGCCTGGCTTCCTGATTGCCCGGGAATCCGCCTCCAAGCTCCCAAGTCACCAGGGAGCATGAAGCTGGCTTTCCGGCAAATCAGGAAGCTAGGGTAATGACTCACCCCCTGGCTTCCTAAATGTCCGGGAAACCAACTCCGTGGCCAATCTGGAAGCCGGGTGGCGTGTAATGACTCGCCCCTCAGCTTCCTGACTGGCTAGAAAGCCGGCTCCATGCTTCCTCGTCACCTGGTGGCAAGAGAGCATGAAGCCGGCTAATCAAGAAGCCGGGCGGCAAGTCATTACACACCGCCCAACTTCCTTAATGGGACTTCTGGCGTCGCTGAGTACGGGAAAACAAAATATTGGTACTCGTGCTTAACCCCTTCGTGACTGACGACGTACAGTGTACGTCGCATCATCTTTTATATTTCATAAAAAAAATGGGTAATTTGTTGTGTTTTGGGGCATTTAATTAAATTTGTCACTAAATTTTGGGGTTTAATAAGGAGTTGTGCTAATATTGCGCAACATAAAAATTTTCAACTACCACCATTTTATTCTATAGGGTCTTGGCATGCAGAAAATATATAATGTTGGGGGGTTTTACGTCATTTTCAGGCCTAAAATGTGGAATATAACAAGGGTGCAAAAATGAAAAAAGGGCCTCAGTCATGAAGGGGTTAATACTGAAAAACCGGCATCGGTGCCTCCCTAAATTTATTAATAAACGATACACGTTCAAATATTGTGGGCCCTCCTTTTTATCTAGTCCTGAATTGTATTCCGATAGTAATGTCTTCCTTATATTGTAAAGCGCTGCGCAAACTGTTGGCCCTTACAGGAATCCTGTATTATAATATTGACTATTGCTGACCTCTTGTTTGATGCATACAAGAAAGTCTTACACTGTCCAAGGAGCACCCACATGTAGTGTGGAAGCAAAAGAATGTTCATGCCAATATATATACACTAAGCCCATGTTCAGGAACCTGTGAGCTCTGGATTAGCACCTACCACACTGTGTAATACAACAATATCCTCTCAGATGTGTTCACATTTTTGCAACCAAGATTTTCTAAACTGAAGCTTAACCCAAAGGGGGGGGGGGTGCCAGGATAAGTGCACATGGATGCGTTTGTAGGCCAAGTAATTGCATTAAGAAATTTGACTTTACCGGATGTATGCTTGCTTTGGGTCAGACTCTTAGGGCCCGTTCACACCAGGGTCCTGTGTGATAAACGCATGGTACCGCGCAACACACCTAGCTTGTGTTAACAGTGCGGGAAGTGCATTGATTTGCCAATAATTTATATGGCACCGCTAATGCACCTCCCGCCCCCACGCTTGCTACCGCTGTCCAGTTGACAAAAGGAAGTGCAAGGCCCTTACAGAGAACTGCAAGAATACAATGAGCCCTTGCAGTTTATGACTCTACAAAGCCAAAAAGAAATACAGCAGAAAAAAAAAAAGGATTTTTCTTGGGAGTCCATTGAGGGACACAGGAATTCTTAGACTGTTGGGTTATACTGCCACCTACAGGTGGTCAGACAGTAAGAATTCTAAGACTTCCTGTGCCCCTCAATGGACAAGAAAAAGTAGGATGATCCAAGAAACCACATCTCACATACCATATACTGTACCCAATGTATTGTACAAAAGGACACAATATAAATTGTATAGTTTAAAACATATCCAGCCCCAAAAATATAGTGCACAGGACCATCTTTAGATGTGGTGGCTGCATTAGTTTTCTTCAGGCTAGGAACATTTTCAGCAAATACCTGTTAATTTTGCCAGAAATGCTGTGTCCTTGTCACTGCCAGTGAACTGAACGCACAAACATCCTCATCTTTCTTTTGTAAACTACCAGGTCTGTTCACAGAAGGGTGAAGAGTTTGGAGAAGGCCGGAGGAGAAGAAGTGAACAATCTAGGACAAGATAGCTGAACTGGAAAAATTCTCCTATTCAGCTCACTTCCCAGTTCAGCTATGTTGCCCTAGATCAGTGGTGGCGAACCTCGGCACTCCAGCTGGTTTGGAACTACAAGTCCCATGAGACATTGCAAGGCTCTGACAGCCACAGACATAACTCCCAGAGGCAGATGCATGTTGGGATTTGTAGTTTTGGCACAGCTGGAGTGCCAAGGTTCGCCACCACTGCCCTACACTTCTCCAAACTCTTCACCCTTTTGGGCATAACCCCCTAAGTACCCCATCAATCCCTCATGGCAGAGAGATGAACAGAGACAGACAGCCTGTGTGGCAACCATGGCTCCTTCCATAGATAGTGAAGTGACTTGTAGTCACAAAGGGACAGGAAGTGTGTTATTCACAGGATCATCAGGTGAAAATAAAGGGAATGAAAGCCTGAAGGGATAAAACTAATGCAGCCACCATATATAATCTTTGTGTTTGGGATTATCTACGCATTAGTATCTCCACTTTACTGAAGAAAACTTACTTTTGTCAAAGTCTCCGTCCCCATCAGAGAGAAATCCCATCACTTCCTGTCCCGAGGACACTCCGGTGAGTCAGCTCTTGGTCCAGTTATTACAAGCACTGATGGAGGGGGGGGAAATCAGCAAAACACCAGAAACCTGCTGGATGGATATTGTTCTCTCCATGAGAGAATTAAAGGGGGGTGCCATTGCTGGTCTTCTACAAATACCTGTTCTACGACTTTAATAGGAAACAATATAAACATGTCAGAATGTCCTCTTTCAGTACTTAGTACAAGTCAATGACTTGAAAAGCTGAAGCAGCAGAAAGACGCTCAGTAAATGAAGATTCTCAAAAGGAGAGGTCAGAAATCATGACCAGTAATGGTCTCATGACAAACAAGCCAGCAATGGCAGCGCTCATATTTCCTTCACTCACAGGGTCACTAAGGGCCTGATCAGGTGCGGATCTGCAGACACGGTGCTACTGATGCAGTGCGTTTTTGCCGTGTTTTTCATGTGTTCGTTAAAACACAGTGGGGCAGTATGTTAGCTGCATCTATGTTAGATGCGTTTTCGGACCGTTTCCTGACCGTACAAAATGTGACATGCAGTATTTTTCTGTCGTAACCTGAACGGACTGCGCACCTGAGAACTGTAGCCCATAAAACACATAGGGATACATTGCGATGCATTTTTAGTGCAGGAGCGTACGGATCAGGTCAGCACAGAAAATGGACGTCGTGTGAACAGGCCCTTAAAGTGTATTTCCACTTTTGAGGCCAAATTGGGATAACATCTATTTTATATTTACATCACATAACTTAAAATAATTTAAAAATCCTTCTTGCAGTTTAAATTGCTTTTACTTGGGTTAGGGTTTCTTGGCTTCTTAAGGGTTAAAATGTCTACTTGCTTCTCCTTCTTAGCAAAGTTGGGAGGGTCCATGAGCAGGGCCGGATTAAGAGCATCATGGGCCTGGTGCTGTCGGTCGGATGGGAAGCAGCAGAGACGGCTGCTCACTCCTAATATGCCGGATTAGAGCACCGCCAGCGTCTCTGCCTGATTGTGTTCAGTCCGGGAAAGGCCTGGATTACCATAAGGCACACCGAGGCAATGCGGACCGGCTGGGCCTATTGTCAGTGGGGGGCTTGGAGATGGCACTCCAGTAACCCCTATGTTGATCGCCTGACAGAACCCATTAGCCGAAGAACAAATCAGCACAACCAACTAACCCACCAGTGACCATTGCCTGCGGCAAATATCTTAAAGATTTCTCTGTCTATAAAAGACAGATCACTGTGGAGGTGCTCAGAAAAAAAACAAAACCTTTGGAGTCAGCCATGTTGCTGCTGCAACAAATCATCTAATGTGCGATTGGGAACACAAACCTATAGAGGTGTTTTATCAAATTTGACAACGTGTGGAAATTCACTGACATCTTTTAGGTCTCATGGTCCTTTAAGTCTAAAACAACTGTGCAGCAGCACTAGTCTGCCCCTAGACACTAAATGCAGACTAGTGCTGCTGCACAGTTTTTGTAGCACATTTTCATGCTCCATGTGTTTTTCATTTGGCCAATGACAAGCAATAACTGCAGTGACATCATTAGGCATTGCATTGCCTTCCTTCAAGGAGACAAAGCACAAAAACACTCCAAAATGCACGTACATGTGTTTTTCATGAGCTCCCATTGAAGTCTAGGGGCCAAAAATGCACCGTGCAGCACGAAATGCGCATCAGAACAAAATCTCGCTGCATTGATCTTAACCGGCACCATTAAGAATAATGAGGATTCCATTGTCGTGCATTGTAGCGTGACGGCAGACAGGACAAAACACAATCTGGTGTAATTGCCCACGGCAACCAATCAGCTTCTCTTCAGAGATGTAAAAAGTTAACGTTTGCAGTGGGGCTAATTTAAAATACATGAAAGAAGCTGATCGGTTGCCATGCACAGCTGCTCAGTTTTGATAAATTCCCCTCAATGTATGTTTCCGAGATGGGGAAAATGTCTAAGTCCAGGGGCGGGCAAGCCCCAGCTGTTGTGGAACTACAAATCCCAAGACAGATGCACGATGGGATTTGTAGTTTCACCTCAGCTTGATGGCCGGAGTCTGCCCACCTCTGGTCTAGTGATCCATGTTCTGTGTAATGAAAACAAAAATGAAGCACTCTGTAAATCTTGTCCGTTTAATCCACTGTTCACAGTTTACAGATATGGAACAGACATTAAAAAACTCTTCAACGCTACAAAATAAAAATAAAACAAATGTAAAATATCAACTGTACAAGTTCAAGTGTCACATGTTGAAGAAAGTCTGGACACCATGAAACGATTCACCCATTTGCTGCCAAGTAAGCTATGTACTGTACAGGCTGCACAGGACAGACAACACACCTGCTTAAAGGGACATTCCACTTGCAGCCTTGTTCCACGTTCTAGCCCTTTATGGGGACTTGTCAGACTCCAGTCTTGATTATTTTGGGACCTTTTCAAGGATTTGCACCTTTGTGCCGTAGTATTCTCTGAACCAAGAAAAATAAACCAAATCCTCCGCAAAGCCGATTGCCTCTTAGAGGAGACTCTAAGCTGACAGTTGCAAAAACAGCCAAAAAAGGGCAGGAAAAAAAACCCCAACATGGGGGCGGGGGGCAAGAACGCTTAAAAAAAACAGAAACTCTTATAAAACAGAAGGGAAAAAGTGTGTCATCTTCAAACCCTCCAATAAAAGTTTCAGACCTGCAATGTTGTGGACGGGCCGCACCTTCAAACGTTTGTAAATCTTTAAGTCCATTCCAGGCAAAAAGAAAATAGCTGCACTGTACGGAGTGACGAAATGACGGGGTAGGTTCAAAACCCTGATTATTTTCTGTGCCCTGGTTGGGAGATTTTTTTTTTCTGTCCACTTCCTGTCCAAGTAATAGGTGGTCACTAGAGCAGGAAGTGATGGAAAAAAAACCCTCAGATAGGGACAGGCAGCGACAGGAAGCACTACCTACGCTATTGGCTCCAGTTTAAGGGATTTACTATAGTCACACCTTTGCAGTAATATACAATTCAAGCTTCCAGGCAGGTGACGGGGCTTTCAGTTTTCCAAGGGGAAGCGATACAAGGAAGCTTGGTAGTCTTGCTCCCAGGAGAGAGTCTCATTTGGCAGGACACTTTATAAAATTGGTGCAATGCAATGTCAGGATGGGGTTCCTGGTTGTCTGATAAGCCCCCAAAAATGGCCTGCCCCCTGGAGGATATACGAGGCATCACAGACGTGCATGCTGCGGCTAATAGCTAGCACTCCGTGTGTGTCACACAGTTGCATATATTGGGGGGGATGGGGGGGGGAGGCATCCCTCCAACATTATCATCCGGCTTTATTTTACAATGTCCTATTTATTGTCCATAATGGGAGTAGGTGAACTCCTACACACATATGGAATACCACCATGGGTAAAAGTCACTGGCCCCTTTTGCAGATTGCTGCAATGAAATGTTCACACCCAACACCATCTGCTGATAAAGGAAAACAAATCCGTTTTATATCAAACCAACTTTATACTTCAAATTACATAACGGCAGATTGGAGGTCAATTGCCTTTCAAAAGGGGGCTGTGAAGCCAAGCTCAGGTACATGCAATGGCCCCAATTAGATAACCAAATAAACCACTTGCTGCCTTGTCTGTGATTTGCAGCACTCAGCTCAACTACAATAGATTGTGTGTGGTCTGAGCCCTCATCGGGAATCCGCCATACAGGGATGGACTAGTTCTGGGACGTGCTTCCACAGGTACAAATAAAAGAAAAAAAAAAAATCAGTAAGCATCCACAGCAGCACCATTCTCTCCTAATACAGTCAACACGCCACAATCTGCTATGAGGGCCGGTCCACACCACAAAGAATTCGTTCCAGAGCGTTCAGCCTCTGGAACACAACCGGGCCGGCTCCCTGCGTTCAGGGGCAAGGCGGTGCATTGAAGTCAATGGCACCGAAGCCATGCCCATCCTGTCCACAGTGCGATCGCCCAAACGTGTGTCACATTAGTGCACGCGTTCCGGTCCAGTGCGACCTGCAAAAATGCTGCATGCACTATTTTTGCAGATCGCACTGGACTGGAACGGAGGTACTAATGGGCCACACGGTCGGGTGCAGGCAGGGTGTGTGGCTGAGGTGCCATAGACTTCAATGCACCGCTACGCCCCCTCAAGAATCCCTGAACATAGGAAGCTGGATGGGTTGCGTTCCAGAGGCCGAACGCTCTGGAACGCATTCTTTGTGGTGTGAACGGACCCTGAAAGATAATAATCTGAATAGTGTCAATCAAAAGCACTCAAGTCCTTCCCAGCCATTGATGTTGAGAACACAAGGTCCGGTTAACTTTTATAATCCACACCCCCAGAAAACAAACATTCGGGGCAAACCCATTTTCTTACTGCTGGCCTGTAAATTCATTCTCTTCTAGGCCTGCTATGTAAAAAAAGAATTACCCAGAAGGCATGTTTTTGGACAGAGCTGTGTGCATACATTATCTTAGGTCTGCTTACTTTGTATTCCAGTTATTTTACCCACAAGGCCTTGGGAAAACAGAAATCTAACCAGGTTTAAATAGTACGTCAAGTTGAACCTTTTCACGGGCTGTACAAAGAGTTTTGCAAGGCTGACAATAACAGGACAGATCTGGGTGATGGGTTTACCTTTACAGCAAGTTACACACAGCCAGGTTATAGACAATTGTAGGTATGTTTTGCAGTGAATGAAGCATGCTGCCAAGTCCTTTAGTCCAGTCCGTTCCAAGAAAGCCTTTACAAGTCCTAGAAAACATTAAATGGTTGTGTTGCCCTATAAGAGTCCTCGAGGAGGCAGTACAGTCAAAGAACATGGTCCACATCTTGTTGTGGAAGTCCGGTGGGGAGGGAGCTGTGACAGAGGGAGATGATGCTTCACCGTGATGAATTGGAACTGGAACGACTGCGGTGACGGCGGCGTGCTGGGGATCGCGAGCGGCGGCGGACAGGGGAGCGGCGGCGGGGGGAACGGGACCTGTGAAGGGAAGACAGTGTTACCGGCTGAACCACAAACACGTACAGGTTTCCCAAAGTGGAAAGACTAACATGACCACAGACATGCAATGTAGAAATCAATAAAACATGAAGCCTCATCAATAGAAGAGTTGATTAAAAAAGGACAGCGGTCAGTGTAACTGCAAATGTAAAAAATAGCCCCCCTATGACCCCTTACCATCCAAAACGGCAGACTGGATGCTGGGCCAGTGAGGTCTTCCTCCACCGCTGTTCCCTCAATGGTGAGGGAGATTCTGCAATGCTTTGCCCAGTAAGGGAGCGACACTGTAGAACCAGACAGTGCCTTCTACTTAGCAATCATGTTGCTTGTGAGCTGGTGCCAGTAACTGGATTGCATGACCCTTACAATATGCGTCTCTCTCTATGCAATAGCAAAAATCCTTTCATCACTGTGCAGCCAATAACAACAGTTTAACGTGAACATCTCAAACTATATGACTGACGAACGTACCTTTTTAGATCAAACATTTCCAGGCAGCCCCTATCCTGTGATCATATAGCACAGGCTCCGATTCCTCTTCCTCTCCCCATATATAACATTCCCCACACTACTGTTAAACAATCCAGTTGCAGAGTCTCATTGAAGTCCTAGTATGATATTGTTAAATAGTAGGGGGGGGGCTGCAAGTCTAAGTCGGTCAACAAGCAGTATATGCTATAGTGACAGTGATGAAAGGTGGAAGCTTCTCGCACAGGTTTGTTGCCTAGAACTGAATCCAGGCACCTACAAGACCAGCTTCTGTCCCTACTGATCCCACAAGAAAGTGGTGGGTATCCCTCTTCTCTCTGTACTTTGCTGCCCACAGGATGTAGCTTTTCTCTTATGAATACAATGCTGGGACATCACAGCTCTAAGCTACACTCACTCCAAGCGACAGGCAAGCCTTTCCCTCTAAATCACCAGGGGAGCCAAAACCTAACCGAAAGCCGGATATCACCCAGAGGTATTATTGGTGACTATACAGAACGGGGGTATGCCGGCTTTCTATACAGCAGGAGAGGATTTCTCTTCACCCCTCTGCCCTGAAGGGATTTTGCATGCCAACAACGGCATCCGGAAGAGAATTATAAGCTTCTCTATTACAGGAAATTCACAAGAAGAATATCAGTACAGTTTATATTTGGAATACATTTCTCACTTATATGAAGAATATATTTCCAGCATCAGGCTGCAGTACATTCAGGTTGGGGGAACATTAAATACGTTGATGTCTCCCTCAGAATTAAAAAAAATCTGCACAAATCTTTCAGATCACAACCAAACGCCGTTTCTTTTTTGGCTCTACGGTTGTACCGATAACAAACAATCCATTTTCAACAGTACACAAGCGTTTCCTCAAATGAAAGGAGTGGACGGAGGGGAAACTTGACGTTATATTGACTTGCTTTGTGCACAATGGTTCATTTGCTGTCCAGAATTCACAGAAAATCATTCTAAGATTGATGTAAAGCAGAACTAGGGGCAATTCAAATCTTAGCTACTACCCCCACACTGCAAGGGTTAAGTGCTTGTTTTACCTATGGAGCTAAAATATCACCTGATCCATGATCCCGGCTTGCTCTTAGACCAGTCCCTTCAGCCTCTTTCCCCTGCGCCCCAGCGGTCTAAGGTTCTGCGAGTTATCACAATATACAATGGGGGGAATGTGAGGACACCGAGGGACATAAAATTGCTGGAGCGGAGGATGAAACTGCCTGCAGGGAGCAGTGTAGGAGCCAGCTGAGATCGAGGTTCAGGTGAGTAAATCTGTTATTTTAGCTCCTTAGGCAAAATAAGCACTTAGCCCTTGCAATGCAGGGGTAGACCCACTCAGGGTTAACAAGGGTTAAGAATTGAATTGCCCGGAGCTCTTCTTTAATGTACTGCTACAAGACCAGAACCATGTGGAACATTACCTCTTCACTCAAACAAGACATCCAAATACAAAAAGTAGACACAGGTAGCTTTAAACTTTATTACTGATCTCCATTCTGCCCAGAAATCCGAGAACACACTACAATCTGCCTGTTACCAAGGCTCCTGAGGGGAACTAGTAGGCCTCATTCAGACAGGCAAAACTCTGCACCTGGACACCGCAGCACTGTGTGACGAGGCTGCAAATAACTTGGATGATTCGCCACGTGCTAGAGCCCCTAATTGCACACAACCGCTCAGATGAAGCTACACGACAGCAGAAATGCTGGCCAAGGATTGGACAGGGTACAACTCTGCCCAAAGCAGTGGGAGGTAGGTTCTTTGCCTGCACAACATCAGATTCTCACCGGCATCACCCATCTGCATAGGCCTTTCAAGGAGGTTTTTTTTTTAAAAAAAAATCAGTTTTGGGTGAAACTGATATGATGGTTTAATCAGAGCTCAAAAGGCGAGAATATCCCACACTGGGCCATAACGAAGGAGCTTTCCTCACAGTTGAAAAACCCCCAATTTGTTTAATGTATTTTTTAAAATTTGTGCAGCAAGAGTTACACCTTAATTTAGATTTCCAATCACAATTGCATGAAATGACACCAAAAAGAAAGGATATTAAAAAAAAATAAAAGTAGGGTACTTGGATCTTTTCCGTCATCAAAAACTCCAGCAAATGAAGAATCTTCTTCACCTGACACTTCCGGGTGTGTTGGATGCTACCACTGCACTCTAAGGATCCATTAAAGGAGAACTGAAGTGAGTGATTTACAATCATCCTCATAGTTAGAGCTGACGTGCGACATTGAAACTGTCACACGTCGGCTCTATAGATCGGGAAGTGAGCAGAAACATACCATCGCTCACTCACTTCCCGATCATCTCCCTACAGGGAGCGGTGACTGTCAGGCATCACTCCCCGCAGGGATCCCCCCTCTCGATCCTCCAGCGCTGAGTGGAGGAATGGACAGGGGATGGGGCGGGCACAGCTGGTTCTGCCTCTAGATTGACAGCAGGCTCTGCCTATCAGCCAGCTGGTTGGATCTCGACAGCATTGTCAGGATCCATCTCGGCTACGGCGCTCTCAGTATGTAGTGAGCTATAGCACACTATATACTGAGCTTTGGGTCACAGGAGGATGTTAATATATGTCCTCCCATGACCCTAAAGAGAACTATGGGATAAAAAGGTTACCCCCCAAAATTCTCTTTTAAATGCCCCAACATTGCTATAATAGAAGCAAATGGAACCACACAGGGCAGTAGGACTAGCCATGTTGAAGATCCTTCAGGCCCCCTGAGCTTTAAAAGACATGTCACCACCCACAAAGTATTATACCTCTCCTTTTGAATGAAGCAGAGTTTGCTTGTTTTTTAAGGACTGTGTTTTAACATTGATGTTTTGCCATCCCTTCAAACAAAACTATGCACACCATTGCTCAATGGAACCATATTACAACGTAATATCTCTAGTTGTTCATCAGTCATTGGCTTATCAAACCAGGTCAGCAAAACAAGCCTTTTTGGTGTATAGAAGGTAGAGCAAGGTGCAATGTTTACATTATGTAGCTTTTGTAATACCAATCTAAAGGGAGTTATATAATGAGAGAGAGCATTACAGACAGCTGACAGGACACAAGAACAATACAGACTGCAGTGATTAGTGAAGTGATTTTGCCATGGTTAAGTTCAGCCAAGACCTAAAGATCCAAAGCTCACAGAGGCAGTTCAGGAAAGACTTCAGGAAGACATTGCCATATAAAAAGTTGACTGTTGCTCAATAAACAGACTGGACCCTAAACATTCCAGTTAATATCCTGAAGCAGTGACGTTAAGAAGGCAGAGTGGGAAGGGTTAAGGACAGTAGAGAATCATCCACAGGGGTGCAGAGATTGCAGTTAGGAGTGCTTAGAGCCTGCAGAAAAGATGTACTACCTCCTCCTCATCCGTGGGGGAGACCGACGCCACATAGGTGGAGGGGGTAACATCCGACGAGGGGGGCTGAATCTTCGGGGTACCGCCCTCACACGTAGAGGGGTAAGAACTGCTGAAGCTGTGATCTCCTGCCCGTCAATCTGTCCTGAAAGGGCAATACAAAAACACTAATTAATGTGCATAAAGAGGAGGAAAATAGTAAAAAAGTCTACACTTGTTTAAAAGCAGCAATGAATATCAATGAGCAACTGGCAAAAATTACTTAAAAAAAAAAAAAAAAAAAAAGAAGTGTCCATGTAATAAATAGTCCAATCCAAGAAAAAAAAAAAAGCTACATTAAAAACTAAGTGTCAGGAATTGAGAAATTTGAGATTGTAGTACTATGGCATTCTATTCTAAAAATGTGCTGCAGCTTGTTTAGACTGACCTGGCAAATCTCTATAGAAATCAAACGGCCTGCCAAGAGCCATTACATTCATCCTCTTAATGACCCATATCTTCTACCATCCCAACAACCTCCATTAGTCTCTGCAGTAGATACCTCTCTGGGAGTGTTAGACGACTGTGTCCCCTCTTGTGTGCTGTGGTTCCACTCCTGCAGAGTCCTAGTGACGGATGGGCTCAAAGGAAGGAATCACACATGGCACAGGGACACAAGAATCTATCACTCCAAGACACCTGGAACAGAGGGAAGGTAGGAGTCGGACCACTGGAGAGGCAAGTATAATACTTCTTATATTGCAGGGTACTGACATTTTGATTTCTTTATTGACTTGACTGAGTCCAGGGCAGGGTGGTAGTGTTCACCCTTCTCTTCCCTTACACCCTCCCTTGCCTATACGTTGGCTACCATCTCATCTTTCCTCTTCTCCGGCCACCTCCTAAAATGTCTCCAGTTTTCTTTAAGACGCTTGTCTCTTTACTTGCTGCTATTTCTTTCTTGCCCTCTGTTCATATTTAAAATACTATCTTCCTTGCGTTTTGAAATGGCACTGTTGGGAGCTTCCAACAGAAATGGCAGCCCTGGTGTCTGTGGTCTCAGCAAAACACGCCCTCCCCATGACTCTCACTGATAATGACTCATGTAAAGCGCGGATGCTTTGAATATGGAGCCTCTCGGGTCCCGAGATGGAGTTAGGTACGCTTTATCAGTACAGTACATATGTCTTTACCTGCTTCTTATTTCAGATTGTTGGTCCTAACTGGACTTTTTGTTCTTGAATACTTTCTATTCATTTTGTAATAATGTAAATACCCTAATAAAAACTTAATGAACATAAAATACTATCTTCCCTGTCTCCGTCAGGGGTAACATTTTCAATCTCCAATTAGACGCAAGTTGTCTGTGCGAATGATGGGATTTAGGCCAGCTTAAGTGTTGCTGATGCTCATGGACACACTTTCAGATGTTTATCCATGAACTGTGTGCCCTCACTGTCTTTGCCTTAGGCCTTGTTCACATCAAATGCAGAGCAGATCCGGTCAGGTTTCTGCACACGCACGCTAGTCTAATAGATTTTTTTTTTTGGTTTAACATGGGCTTTCAGTGCGTTCCAGGCATTTGCATGCGTTTTTGATGCGTTTGCAGATCCAGAGCAAGTAAAATAGGGCCTGATGCAGGGCCTGTCCCCGCCTCCCCCCCAAAATACCATCACGGATACAAATATATAGGACAAAGAACTAAACTTAAGATTCCACTGTTACTTATAAACAGTGACCCTTTCACCTTGTCATTAGGTAAAGTTACTCTATGTCTATAACAAAAAAAATGGAATTGTTTGTTTACCTCCATCCATGTGTTTTATGGCTTTATCCGCTTCATCTGCTCCCTCAAACTCCACATAGGAATACCCCTTATTAAGGTGCGGGTGAAAGCGGTCTACTGGCATGTCAATCATCTTAATCTTTCCATAGGTGGAAAAGATCTCTAGAATGTGGTCCTACAAGAAGATAAATGAACAATAATGCAAAGTATAATAACTAAAACACGACAATCACACAGCATTAGACCAGAATACAGATTTTTGCTTAAAGTGAACCACTTAAATGAAGACCCTCTGCTGATAATTACCTTCTGTTACCTGCTGGGGAAGTAAAGTGGCTTTCCCGGGTTCAACTGGCTAAGGGGGGGAGGGAATATGACACACTGCTTCCTTCCAGCGCTGAGGTTTAGAGACTGGCTAGCCAGACATCAAGCACTGTTATATAAGGGTGAGGGAGATTCCTTAAAATCTGTGTTGGTCCCAAAGTTGCAAAACACAGGGATAATTCTCCTTGCTCCCGCAGATGAACAGAAAGGAGGGATCAGGGTGCAAAGACATGGCAAGTATGTCAAAGAACTGGCTCACCTTAGGGACCAATGAAACTAAATCACAGGCTTATTCTATGAGGCAACAAGAAATGTGGTAAAATCATTCAGAATTTATATTTCATTGATGTAACTGAGCAAACATACCTAATCATTTGATTTACTCTGGACATGATTGCTCTTTGTACAGTTTTACTGAATAAACCTGAAAGTGCTCAACACCTTAAATCTAACCACCAGAACAGTACTAAACAAGACTAACCTTGGTAACATTCCTTGTCAGCCTCCCAATGTGAACTTTGGTGGGCCGTGGGCTTGGACTTCGCCTCTTTCTCTCCTTCTCATCACGTTTTGGCTGTTTGGATCTGTGAGAAACAAAACAATTGTTATTCCACCAATATGCATGCATGGCTGTATTATGGAGGCATGTACTAGCAATGCTGGGCAACAACAGGATGCAGATCATAGATACACTGCATCCCTAATAATTGTATAGAAATTAGGATCAGGTAACCAATGTGTGAAAGCAGATTAAAGTAAACTTTATATGAGAAATAGAGGCGGAGTTTGCTGATAACGTCTTAAAATGTTAGTTTTTGTTAGCGCCGGTTCACACCACAAAGTCTGCGTTCCAGAGCGTTTGGCTTCTGGAATCCACGGCGGCGGCTCCCTGCATTCAGGGGCATGGCGGTGCAATGAAGTCAATGGCACCGCAGTGCGATCGCCCGCACCCAGAACGCAGGCACACTGCAAGCACTGTTTTTGCAGATCGCACTGGACCAGAATGCAGGCACTAATATGCCTGCATTCTGGGGCCTGACTGCGGTGCCATTAACTTTATTGCACCGCCACAGCCCCTCCTGCCAAGGGAGCCGGCTGGCTTGCGTTCCAGTGGCCAAACGCTCTGGAATGCAGACTTTGTGGTGTGATCTGGCCCTAAAGGCTGACATGCTGAGTCACGGATTCCAAATAAGTACGCAATAGGGTCGGGCATGAAGGCCAGGCAAATAGCATTTCCAAGATGCAAGGTTAGCAATGGCAGGTTTACTTTAGGTAATACTGTAACACAGAATGCCCTTTATGAAAAGGTTGATTTAAAAAAAAAAAAAAAGGTTTAATATTAAACATGAAGTCAGTGGCAAATCAGTCAAAAAGGGTTCATTTTGGTACCACAAATTATTTACTTGAACTATAATAAGATATCTCTAGATTTAAGTGCCGCATAATGATGGCAGGAGATAAATATGCATTTGGTATTAAAATAAACCAACTATATGTCCTCAACCATTTAAACTCCATGACCTCATTACTACTTCCTACTATTTAACGGCAAGAGCCTTTCAGATTGTGAAAATGTAACATACTTGGAGCGTGATCGCCTTCGGTTGTCATGTCTCCGACGAGAAGGACTGGGGGAACCAGAAGAGCTGCTGGAGCTTGAGCTGCGGGACGAGCTGGAACTTCCGGAGCGACTGGATGCCGATGAGGAGCTGGAACCTGAACTAGATCCAGAGCTGGAGCCAGATGATGAACTGGAGGAGGAACTGGAGCGGGAGCTTCTGGAACAGAAGAGTCAGCGAATTTATCAATAAAACAAATGGGACTACCAGCTGCAGAGCCGAGAGGTGTGGGCAAAGGTGTCAGTCTGCCCATTGAGTAAAGAAAGAGTCATGTTCCCCACATTCTTGGCTACACTTCTAAGGCAGCCTTTCTCAACCAGGATGCTGCAGCGTCCTGGGGTGCCTTCTGGCTTCAAGTGTGCCTCGAAATTTTCACATACTGTCCTTCATTTCCATGGCGTAAGCTGTCCTGCCACAAAAATGACTGACACTAACCCAGGGAGGGCGAGACCCTTTCAGAAAATTCCACCTCTGTCCAGGCCTGCTATGTCTCCCACCCTCTGCCACAGCTATGGCTCCTGATATGAAAGGGGAACCCCACTTGTGCGTTTGCATGAGGTCACCCCTTCATTTATGTCTTTTACATTTTAGCCTGAGGTGCCTTGAGATTCTGCATACCTTTAAAGGGTGTCATGACTGAAAAAGGTTGAGAAATGCTGCTCTAAGGTACATGCATACTAGTGATAGGTATGAGTTTTATGAGGCTTTGACCAGTCACATTTTTGGTTCACAATACTACTGTTGGCTGCATGTTGTAATCATTGAAGTGTGCGCCCACACAATATGTACATGCTTCTCAGGTAAGTGACGCATCAGCTAATTAATCAGAGATAAGACTGAGACTACAACTTCAAAAATAAGTTAGAAATTCAAGTGTTAATGTATCAGTCCAGAGTGAGTCAAGTCCCTAAAAATAAATTTACAGTGATCCATTGTGCAGCAGAAGCCAGAGAGTAGGGAATCAATAACGATAAATACCAGGAACTTTGGCATTAATGAATAGTTATAAATGGTTTGTCATGCCACGTACCTACTGCTACTACTGCCACTGGAGGCGCTGCGTCTCTTTCTTGTCTTGTCTCGTCCGCGGTCCTTCTCTGCTGTCTCTTTTCCTGGAACCTTTTCTTTGGTCCGATCCTTAGACCTGTCCTCAGACCGCTCCTTACGTTTGCTGGGAGAAGGAGCCCTACCAAAAAAAAAAAAAAAAAAAACACAAGTCAAAATATATTGCGTCCTCGTGCAGTATAAAAGCCAATGTCACGCAAGATAAACCCATTATATACCAGAAAAACAAGTTCTGGCTATTAAATTGCTTCTAAGACCATTTTAAATACATTTTAGTTTTAACCACTTAAAGACCAGAGTGTTAAACCCCCTTCCTTTCCAGGCCATTTTTCAGTATCCAGAGCTGCAAGACTTTGACATTTATTCATGCAACGTTGTACTGAAATTAGTTTTATATAATTTTATATTAGCAGGTGCTGATGACAGATTTGCTCATCCACAAAGTTTTGCGTGAACAGAGGAATCTGTTTTTTTTTATTCAGCATCTACTAGTGTTTGGCCAGCTTAAGGATGACTATGCCTGGTGCTGCCCCTTCATTAGCTAGCTAGGGGTAGGAAGGTGACCAGACTATATAGCTTAATGTCTAAGATCACGTTTGTAATAAAATACACTATACAGTTACAGGGGCCTGATTACTTTAAAAAAACACTGTGCAGCTTACACAATTGTTCCTTCTTCTAAATGTAATTCCAGTAGACCAAGCTTGGATTCCACACAGCCTGCCCTAAAAACTTGGGAGCGATCTGTGCAGTCCTGCCTAGGATATGGGATGCACTGTACATTAGGGGCCAACGGCATCACAGGAACGAGCACTTTCCCTCCAGCAAGACCCATGCACAGGGAGTGAAAAGTGCCAGAAGCAGTACCTGAGGAATAAAACAGCTTCATACTTACCTGTCCTATGGGCCACACTGCAGAACGTCCCTCTCTAGCAGTGCCCCCAATGCAGATTCCACTCTACTCCTCAGGTTAGTCAAATAAATGGTTCCCCCGGCTGATGCGTTTCCTCCTGCTGTTCCCTAGTCACTACAGGACACATAAGTGCCAAAGAGATCATGAGCCAGCAGGGTACACACCAGTCTATACACCAGAAAGAGTGGATTAGGATCAGCACAGGGAGCTCTGCAACCCGGCCAATGGACAGGTAATCATAATGCTGCTTTCTGCATTTTTTTTTTTAACCCCCCCCGACAGGGTTCCTTTATATTGTAATAGAGAAATGTCAGGCAACCTACATGGCCTTGCTATTTAGAACACCTTCAAAAATCTCAGGACTGCATGCACACAAATACACACACTTGGCAGGTAAAACAGGTTATTTATATATTTAGGGTATTTGGCTGTTTGTTTGGATGTTAGACGGTGTGGAGCAAGATTATGAATCACAATAAACACACATTAAAAGCCTCTAGCCATCATAGTATTTATTCAATATCCCCCAAAAAGCTGAACTCCAGGTAAACAGCTGAACTCAAATGTGAAATACATATAGGAGGGGCTGTTTTACCTGCCAAATGATTTGTATATCTGTCCATTCAGTCCTGAGATTCACACAGCATAGCCCTGTCTGCCAGGGGAAGAGATGCAATTTTGACCTGCTGCAGTTCAACAACACTTATGAGTCTTAATTGAATGGGACAGCAGAATCATCACACTGGTGAGTTCTACTCTGTCCTTTCAGCATGCACCTTACACTGTAGCACAACTGGTTGGTTTATTATGCTGTTTTCTCCTCCCCCAGTCTGAATTCTCTTATACAGGAGGACGGCCATTGGCTGACACCAAGTCGAATTTGGATACCTACCCTGCTTGTATTTAGAAAAATACATGGAATGAATTATTAATGCAAGCAGGGCTGCATTCATTTGTTACCTTACATCTGACTGAATTTCAGTTTTTTTAATGCAAAAAGCATTACTAGATTTTAGAATTTGAATTAGAAATTTGATGAGAAGAGTGTGTGGCTGAAAAATAAAACATTCCAATTTATGTGGCTGAGTGTATTGACCCCCTAAGGCCTGGTTCACACCTGGGCGTTTTGTAGCGCGTTCGAACGCTCTGCCAAACGCTCAAACACCGAAATTCCATTATTTCCTATGGGTATGGTTCACACCTGGGCGTATTACAGGCCGTATGAACACGCTACAAAACGCCTTACACCCAAAGTACAGGAGCTTCTTTGGGGGTTTTTGTCGCGCGTTTCCATTGGGATACAGCCAAGTAGCCCTCGGAAACGAGCGTTGGTTGCACGGTTTTTTACCACGAATCGCGGTAAAACCGCGTGTCACGAAATGCGTGACAAACGCGCATATTCGATACGTCTAGGTGTGAACCCAGCCTAAAGGTTTTCCCGACGGGCCATTTACTGAGGACATGTTGCATGACTGAGACTCCCCTCAACATACTCAAAGTGTGCTTGGGGTAGAAGATATGATCTGGTTCCCCCATTCACAACCTACCAGCACCTTAACTCCTTCCCGATGACTGGGTTCTCTCATCATGGTTGTTCAGTTTGTCAATGACCGGTGATGGGATAATCCTGTCAGGGGCTGCGTGTGATTAGTACGCGGCCGTGTAGTGCGGCATACGGCCGCGTACTCCTATAGAGGACAGGGGCTGCGTACTAAATCACACGCAGCACCTGTCCAATACAGCCATACACGCAGCATGGAGCTGTACGTGCTGGCCTTTTCTCGTGTTAATGAGGCCTAAGTGTCAAAGCCCCTATAAATAAATAACCTTCGTTCGTAGGGTTCAGTATTGAGTTGGCTCCGCCCTTTGCAGCTATAACAGCTTCAACTCTTCTGGGAAGGCGTCCACAAGGTTTAGAAGTGTGTCTATGGGAATGTTTGACCATTTGTGAGGTCAGGTACTGATGTTGGACGAGAAGGCCGGGCTCAGAGTCTCCGCTCTAATTCTTTCCAAAGGTGTTCTATCGGGTTGAGGTCAGGACTCTGTGCAGGACAGTGAAGTTCCTCCACCCCAAACTCGCTCATCCATGTCTTTATGGACCTTGCTTTGTGCACTGGTGCGCAGTCATGTTGGAACAGGAAGGGGCCATCCCCAAACTGTTCCCACAAAGTTGGGAGCAGGAAATTGTCAAATGTCTTGGTATGCTGATGTCTTAAGAGTTCCCTTCACTGGAACTAAGGGGCCAAGCCCAACCCCACACCATAATCCCCCCTCCAGCAAACTTTACACTTGGCACAATGCAGTCAGGCAAGTACCGTTCTCCTGGCAACCGCCAAACCCAGACACAAATCGGGCCGGAACATTTGGAGACTTCTGCATGCGCTGACCCCGCTCTGTCACTTTGTGGCCTACCACTTCATGGCTGAGTTGCTGTTCCCAGTTGCTTCCACTTTGTTATAATACCATTAACAGGTGACTAGAATATTTAGTAGCAAGGAAATTTCACGGATGGACTTATTGCACAGGTGACAACCTATCACGGTACCACGCTTGAATTCACTGAGCTCCTTAGAGCGACCCATTCTTTCACAAATGTTTGTAGAAGCGTCTGCATGCCGAGGCGCGCAATCTTATACACCTGTAGCCATGGAGGTGATTGGAACACCTGAATCCAATGATTTGGAGGGGTGTCCCAATAGTTTGGGCAATACAGTGTATATACAAAGTCTGAGGGCCCATTCACACCATATCCGGATCATATCCAGACCAGACTGTTTCCAGACCTAAAATGCATCCCAATCTATCACCACTATGCTATTTCTGGCCTCTTCACACTAGCGCAGTCTGTTCCAGATCAGGAAAATACTGCTTTTCATATTTTGCAGGACGAGCAGTATTGTCTGGTCTGGAATGCACTGGAACGCATCAAAAACACAAACACACTGGAACTCACTTGTAACACCATTTTAAGCAGAAGGAAAAACTTCCCAACGCGGAAAATCACGGTAAGAACCCAATGCACTGCGTTCCAGATTGCAGCGGTTATCTAGTGATTATTATTGCAATGCTTTCCAGGCTTCAATGCACATATTAAAGAAATTATTTTTTTTTAGATATTATCCATTTCTTTAATTTTTGCAAAAGGTGAACTGAGCCTTTAAGCAAATCCTTAAAAAGTTGTTTAATGGAGCCGCTTTCCTCCTCTGTGCTGCCTTGTGGTACATTCAAACATTTAAATCAATGTACATCTATAAAAACCCCTACACACAACCAGCCCCAGGAAGCAGCCATCTTAAGCGCTCCATGCAGACATATACATGAATGAGGCCTAGTGAAGCCCGTACCCAGGCTCAGCCCTACGATAACATCGCCCCCACCGCCCGTCCCGGGCCAATATCCCCGGGCTGACAATGGCCAGAGCCCCGCCTGCACAGGGCGGCCACCCCCGGGGACACAGCTCGGTGCGGCGGGAAGGATGGAGCCGGATTACGCAGCGGGT